TGTTAAAAATAGTTGAAATGTTGGTTAATATCGGTACAGCATAATATTATATAATATAAATAATTTTAGATAAAAGGTTTAAAAAAGGCCATCATTACAATAAAATATTTTCACGAGCGATCGGAACTCTTTCCACTGCTTAAAGCGCGCGAGAAATGTTCATTGATACCGACACTTTGTCTCCACCTGGTGTTTGTTTCAATTAAACGACTGAAAGTTTTTACATAATGGCATTTTTCTGACATTAGGTCTTAATTCAAGACGTTATTTGGAAAACAATAAAAATCGCTTCCGTCAAACCCAGTGGTTGCAATCAGATATGTAGTTGAATGATTACATTCGACTTTACAACGTTCATCAATTGTGCGAAACACTTTTTTGGTATTTTATGCCGAGTTGATAATTGTACAACAGAAACTATATGGTGGAATGGTAGCTTAAACTGAATGTAAAATGGAAAAATCCGGCGGATTCAAGTCAGAATTAAAGACGAAATAAATGTACCGCCTCACAAGTCAATTCTTTAATCCCCGGATATATTTTTGCGTTTTGACAAACCGATAATAAAAATTTTTTGAAGCATGCATTTTTAATTAGTATGCCATCTATATTTAGTATGCCTTTCTGCCTACTAAAAATATTATTTTCATATACTGGCACCTTTTTTATCTGACGTTTTTATACGGCTAGATGGGCATAACCATCTTAATCCGTATTAAATGTTTACTAAACCGTGATTTTGATATTCTTTATGTCAAGTCAAATGACAATCAAGTATTAAAATTCTGAAACAAATTTGATCGGACATTTGGCAATATCAAAAATGCCTAGAACAGATTACCCCCAGTAAAAATTTTTTTTTTTTTGATATACAATATTCAGAACTATCAAGCATAATAGAAATTTTCGTTTTGAAGTTGTAATTATTCACTAGAAGGTTTAGAAAAAAACTAGACTATAAACCTGCAAAATTATATTACACCTCGTTTCTCATTTCTAAAATCACAGTCATCGATTAATGTTCAATAAAGACGGAGGAAAGAATTAAAAGATTATAACGTGATACTTTTATACCAGTTTTTGTCCGTTTAATCGAATTCATTTCAACTGATTTTATTTCGGCATTAAAATCTACTATCAGTTTTTATGGATAATTCTACAAATAAATTATTTTGAACTATCGATATAATACGATTACTTTGTTACAATAGTAAAAATACTGTTTCTGTCATGGTGTCGTTTTTTGTGTGTCTCCCAATCAAAAAAAAAATACCATCATATTACTCTATTGTTTTATACCCAGTTGATGTTCAATTCACGAAAACCAAACACACACAGCAGTGATTTAATTTGTAATAATTATAATCATTCATTGAATCATTTTTACATCTGCATTCATTGCAACATTGATGCATTTTTTTTTAATTGTCTCTTAATGGAAAGTTTTTGTTATCAAGCAAATGGTTACCTAATACGGAATTTAGATTGATTTTTCCGATTTTCTTTTCAATTTGTCAATCATGTCAAAATGCATGAATGTAACAAAAATATTTTCAAGATATTTTGAAGTTCACAACACGGCTAATATAAACCAACAGGCTACTCACTATCTATGTACTACAAAGATTGCTCTTTAGATAAATGAAAACATCTTTACGATATATTTATTTGAATGATGTAATTTTTATTTATTGTTTACACTCAATAACCAAAACAAATAAAATTGAAACAAGTAAAGTTCTGTCAAATTGGCTCGCCCAGATTTAACGTAAATATTTTTTAATAATAAACATGAACTTGAAATAAACTCGTGAAAAAAAAAAGTTAGTTTAAAATTTGATACTCAATTGCGATCACCGATTTTATTAAAAAATTAAATAATAAAAAAATGAATATGCATTTGTTGCTTCTGCGCTTTCAAATGTTTTTAATTATGACAAAATAATAAAACGAAGAAATTACAAACTTTATGCCGAAAAATTGGAACCAATTAAAATATATAACTATTGATTTAAGAAAAGCAAAAGTATAGGATACAAGATTTAACACAAGAATTTCGTGGAGAATAGAAAGGTGGAGCTTTCAGTAGAACTGATAAATATAATTGAGAATAGATGACTGAGTACTTCAAAGTGCTATTTTACGTAATATATTATGAAAAAATAATATGATTTAATTGAAGATTCAAGACATGATATTGCAAATATGTTTGATGCAGAGATTGCTGATATCACAACAACATTCTCGGGAATTTAAATTATCCATTAAATAAATATTATCAAACATAAACAAACCGATTCCGAAACCTAAACAAAATTTAATCTTACAATTTGTTTATCAATAACTACTTGATGAGTTTGCTTATATATTTGATATGCAGAAAATCGATTACGGAGATCAAGGATACATTCCAAACAGATGATTTATATAACAATTTTGCACACTAAAAATTAATCAAACAGATAAGAAATTATTATGTTTTGACTTTGAGGGATCTCCACTTTTAGGAATCGTTTAAAATTTATCCGACGCCAAATTCGACACAAATTTGTCTTTGTTGCACAAATCGATACCCAGATCTTTGTAACCTTACTGTTGCATATGCTTATGCAACCTGCTTTTGTATCACTTTCCCAAGTTTTACTAGTTGACATTGTAGATTGGGCTACATGCTATCGAGTTCAACCAGTGATATCGATTTAAATCTATATAAATGAGCAATTATTAACTCTTTTGTTCCGTATAACTTATATATTCGTATTACCATCCTTGGTCATAATAGTTATTTTCGGACTATTTTACGTTTATGATCATGTTTTGTGAAGTATTCCGCACTAACTAAATCATTTTGAGCATCCAACTATGATCCGTGCTTGATCTGTCAACATTTTGTTTTTTTGTAAATTTTTTATTTTACTACTAAGTCAATTTTATTTGTGTAGGCATTTCAAAGCTTAGAGATACACGAAAGTATTTGTCATTACTTCAAAAATAAGTCATTTGAACGAGCGGGAAACAATTTCGCGCACATAATAAACAAACAAAGATTCCAGACAACTATCGTGGACATGCTCTCACATATCATTGATTATTTCGCGTTTCGCTTCGCTTGCGAAGCTGAGTCTGGTTTTTCTGCAAAGGTGATGTAACCCTCTTTCAGAAGAGCGCTTGGAATTTCGTTTCTTTGTAACACGTGTTCATCGAAGCGATAAGAGTGTGAAACGTTCTCTCAAAATTTTTTGAAATTTCTCTCTTCTTACACGCGTAGGGTCGAACAGTTTCGCCTACGTCATTTGGGCGCGTTTTAGTAGGAAGACGCGAAAATAAGCTTTTTAAAGAGATATTGGGGGTGTTCCTTGTACGTTTGGTTAACTGGTCATTGCATATTATAAAATGGTACATAAAGTCGATTGTATACAGCGGAAAAAAAGGGTTAATATTAATCCATATTATATTTTAAGTATGTTTCAGTATTTTTTGCGTGTTTATGACCGTTTTATACAAAAACATGTATTACTGAAAAAGTAGAATTTAAATAAAATATTTTATTAAGATAATTAGTATCAGTTAAAGAATAAATCATGTTTTTATGATAAATTGTAGATACAAAATAATAAAACTTGTCCACATATGGCTGGAAGAAATAGGATGTTTTTGGTGTCCGCCAGCTCTCAAAACTTCTCAGTTTCTATTCTGTGCTACTGGTCGACTTTTACTGCTGCATGGGCATTTTTGAGCTGGCTTCTGGCTTCGTAGAGATCTCCGTATCTTCATAACCAATTTTTATGGAAAAAAGATGATTGTTGCAAAAATTTGGGCAGTCCTTTTAACTAAAAATATGTTCATCATAATGTAAAATTCATATATTTGCTGGAACAGTTAGTTGAAGTGATACACTTTATCATGAGTCAATCCCGCAAAAATGTTTTGTAGTTCAACAACAACATGAGCAACTCCCCCAACAACAACAATCTTGTAAAACAAAACATACGTCCATTGCATGTTGATAAATCGCCCCTGCTGTAATAATAATATTAATCAGAGTGTTCTAATTGTAGCTCAGTAGCGACATCTTGTGATCGAACTTAATAGAATACTAATTGCATCCAAATTTTAGTGCGAATCAATTCGATCAGGTAATAATTGAAAATGCTTTGTGAACCGTCTAAGATTCGTTTAAATTTGTATATACAACCCCCAAAGGAATTGTTCTCAAAATCCTAATCCTATATGTACATTATGCTGTAGTGCAAAGCTGCCGTATTGTGTTGAAAAATAATCTGCGTATTAGTTTCAAACTTTCCTAATATTTTATTTTGTAAAGCATACTAGAGACTTTCTTTATTTTTTCTTTCTATTTCGATGCTGTTGCAACACACTGGATCCAGAATGAGCCGTTTACTAGTAAGATAGATAATATCCCCTGCATTTTACACCATGTTGTGTTCGAAAAACTGAGGTGGTTGGACCCTACTGACCCCAATTTCAACTGACTTCTTTTCTCACAGCATACTATGCTTTATTTAAAATCTTGTATGGGCATAAGAAATGTTTCAAAGACAATGTATCTGATACACGAATATTGAAAAATTCTGGTTTGTTACACAGTACTTAATCTTTGGATATTCAGCAAGCTCATTTTTTTTATAATGATCAATTCGTAATACGGTTTCGATTGCTTAATTTTTATTTAATTTTAAACAATTTGTTATCATGTTAAGAAAACATCTATAAGCTTTGAATGAGATTACTCGACCTGCTTAATTTCAAAGTTCTTCGACCTGCATGTTAGTTGTGTCAATATTTGCCTGTTGAGGTTTATTGGAATCTATGTGCGCCATAAACGTATCTAGTACGCCAAATTGCCAAGCATGGTACACGTATAAATCGGTCATTATAGACTCAATTTTATATTGCCCGTACTTATACAATAGTATAATACTTTTCATTTTCAAAGTGAAACAGATGTTACAAAACGAAGAATACATTTAGTGTCCGTCGCCAAAGTAGCAGAACATTTATACTCAGAATTAAGGTTTATGTTGAAGACAATAAAAGCTGAAAAAGAACTAATATGTCTTCAACTACTGCCAGCGTATCCTTTGCATCAACATGGAATGGAACAATCGGTAATACAACGACTTGGACTGTAAATTACACAGACGGTAATTACCAATGTCAATCGTTTTTTTTTTGTTCAGTTTGAATTTGGGGAAGGTTGAGCTTTAGTACTGGTCTTCAAGGTAATAGTCAATTTCAGGCGGAATTGTATATTTAAAAATACTTTTCGTTTTTTTGTGCTTGAATGAAGTAAAAATATACATAAATCTACAAGAGAGATACGTATGTAGGTACTACAGTAATCAGCTACACAAAATTAGTAGGGGTGGTGTATATTGAGCATATGGGGGTAATTGAGTACAATGTATAAAAACCTCGCTAACTTTTTTGCATGTTGAGTGAATGGTTCCATTTCACTGCGTATAACCCACTTGCCTACCAATGATAAAATTGTTTTAGATGTCTGTATGTGAAAATTTTTTTGTTCGTGAAAAAAATTGTTTTAGAAACTTTCACGTGACACTTTTCTGATAGTATATATTGAACTTTTTGTGATGCCTTTTAGTACCTTAGTAAAGACTGTCTTTGCCCCAGCAGATAATTTTTGTATAACTCATTGACTTTTTATTTTATTGATGTTTGAAAAAATCGAGGTAAATTGAGTCTGTCGGAAATTAATCGTGGGGTAAATTGGGTATATGCATAAATGGCCTCTTCCGCTGCTATAATACAGGATTATGAGGTTCTGTGCCACTATTTTGAGCCCTAACACTTTTTGTAGCCTTTAGCATGTCCATCTTTCAATATAGGCTTCTATTTTTAATGAATATGAGTGTAAATCTACAATGGGCAATTGTAGGATTTTAAGAAAGCAGTTTTTTCTTGTGACTAAAAAAAATAGTAAAAAAGAAAGCTGTGGACAAGCCAAGCACAGAGCCCTACTCCACCAGTAAGCTTAGTGCATTTACGAAGGCTTTAGTTGACGTAATCACACTCACTGTCATCTCCGAAAACATGTAGTAATAATAGAAAAAAAAAAAGAATTCAGGCGAAAACTATATAACGTCAGTTGAAAGTATATACCATTATACTGATAGGATAGACTTAAAACGGATATGATTGGTAGAAAAAATAAAAACAGCAGAGAAATAGATCATAATAATAGTTCAGAAAAGCAGTAACAGAGTCAGAATTAGATTCGGCTTTATTGACGACGAGACAGAATATGAAACAGAATTCTCACATAGTACAGCTGATTATAACAGAGGACTAACTATAAGTAGCATATTCTGACATTAATGAAATCAAGACCTTGACTGGCTGGTTGAAATACGGGGAAAGGGAATTCCTTGGCCAGGTTGTCCTCACCAATGTATATAAAATGAACTTTGTATCATACCAGTGTATGAAAGAGCTCAAAGATTTTGTGTTAGATTTAACCCAAAATAGGAACATAAAAAAAGTATCTCTATCAAGGAAGTTGTTGGCCAAGTCAAACCACCCATTTCTAGTCCATAGTGAACTTGTATTTTAACTAAAAGCCTATTTGTGGTAAAAAGTTTATGGAAACCATAATTGTGATCTATCATGCCAAGTTTAAAGTGATGTCAGATAATTATGTTCCAAGGTTTTTTGTAATTACTATTTTTTTAAATAAACTATATGTACCCAAGTTTCTCATGAAGGTCTTTGATTTGGTTCTAGGGCTTTCTTAGATTTGATTTGACTGGTAGATGTCAGTATACTCAGTTATCCTCGAAAAATGAGGTAAATGAGGAAGTACATAGTCAGAATGTTACAATGAAACCATAATTTCACGGAGAATCGATTTCACTCAGATTTTACATTGGTTCAAATGTCAAAAACTACTCAAATAACCCCTCCCCCCCCCCCCCTACTTTACTTTCATGAAGGATAATTTATTATTTTAAACGACAGAAGAACACTTCCTATACTCTATAAATCTATATAATATCGAGATCCTATTTAGATTTGTCCATATATTGATTATTAGTTCAGGTGATTTTGAAATTTTTTCAAAAAAAAAAAACTTTTTTCAACAGTTACCAACTACTTCACAGACACTACAATAAGCATAGAAACTTCCACAGCTCCAACAACAGGTAACAATTTGATTACCAACGTTATCTATTATTGTTTTCATGTTGCATTGAGTAACTGCATTTGAATACTCACATGGAATACGAGTTGCTACAAAGTCTATCTCTAGGAATCCTTGAAAATAGAAAAACAAGGGCACAATGCAGATCAACGTTGCATTATTCGAGTCTTTATATTGCAAATTTCTTGAATATTTGGATATTGCATGAAGACTTACTTTTAGACTTACATTTTATTCTCACTTACTTAAGTTATGGTAAAATATATATACAGATAATGATAAGAACACGTGAATAAATCGAATAATCGCTGATTTTATCGTTTCTCTCTCTATATTCATTTGTTAGAAAGAACACATATACACAAGTATGCTATTTGGTTCACATATATATCTAGTGAGTAGCTCTATAGAAAGATGAACTTTTTTGAAAATACCTTATTTTTAACCTTCAGATAATATGATACCGATGCCAATTATCGGAAACACAGAAGATTTGATCAGTAAGTATTCTGTGTTCTCAGTATCTTTGGACAACACCGATTAAATCGATTACTGTTGAATCTGAAAATAAAATTCATTTAACTTTGAAGGATTGTATTTTTAAGTTTAATAATGATTTGCAGTTAATGATCTCTGTGTCATTGGTTAATCGATGTAACACATTATTATCAAAAATATTTTTCTTTTTTTTTCATGTTACTGAATTTGTCTTATACATGTTGGTATGTTACAGATACGTATCGCTTGTTGATAAATTTGGACCCACTCCAATTACCGCACAATGGATCATATATTGGGCTCTATCTAATCAAAAAGATGTTTTTCAAAAAATATAGTTACCAAAACTTTTTATTCCTTGGCTGTTTTCTTGATCCTTGAATAGAATACAGATGTCTAATAAAAGAAATTTCTGAGAACCATAATTGACGATGAAAATAATAAAACAGGTTTCAAATTTATCAACTTTCCCAAAACGAATATCACATATTAATTGTCAGCAATCTAAAAATTGGTTTATCATTCCATTGGGCGTTAACTATCGATCGATAAATGCATTTTGTTTTATTTTAGTTTTTGCATCAACAATAACCGGGGTCCTGTTTCTTGCAATGTTAGCTGCTTTCATTGGGTGGATTTGTGACCAAGTTGGTGCGTTTGGTGACCCAATTGGTAATAAACTCCGAAAAACATTGAACAAGAAGACATCAACACTACAATTTCCGAGAGTAAATATGGTACCAAGAGCAAACGGAGATACTGGCGTACCACAATGGATGGCCCAGGCACATCATGATGTACATATGAACGATGGTGCGGACAATCAGGCATATGGTAAAGTAAAGTATAATTTTAGCTCCATGTCATGCAGTTGTTTTATTGTCCACGATATTATTTCTATAGCTAAACATTACTAAATATTATTATTCATTTAAAGCAAGATCATGTCAAACACGTTTTAACGTTTCAATTTGAGAACGATTTTAGATGAAAAATAAGACGAAAAGACGAAAAATACTAAATTCATGAAATCACTCTCTTGTAAGAAAATAAAAGAATTTACAAGAAATTAATTTTATAACGGGACGTATGTAGGAATAGAACTCATAATTTTATTGTAGTTCTTTTCCATTCACTTCAAAATTTTCGAACTTAAAAGGCGAAGGATACCTTGATATCCCGAGATTGAGCAAAAATGTTAGTCCTTAAAAAAACTCGTAATTAAATATTTTATGGTGTCACCAAACTCACGTCATCGAGGATGATTGGTTTTACCGTAAATGGATTTTGCAAGTACTCAATATTGCAGCTTGTTATTTCATATTTCAGAAGACATACCTGCTCATGTATTAGCTCAACATCACGCAGCGGAACAATTAGATCAGACAATTCAGGAGATTGACGAAGACGATGAATTTAGTGATGAAAACGAGTATGATGACATTGGAAATCATGAGATCCACAGAATTAGACCATCACAAATTAAAGCCATGGAGAGAAAGAAAAGTCAGCGATATCGAAATCGTAATGTATGTTTATTTATGTGTCGTTGTTGCAAAGACAATAATAAAAGCCAAATCTTTTTCAAGTATCTGAAAGTGATTGTGTCCTAATTAGTAATAATCGTAATAGAATTTAATAGTTTTAAAAACATTTTCTGACGGTTATTCAAAATGAAGTAGTTCAGATATCTTGCATCAAACTTTCACAGATTTTATTCTGTACCTTTTTATCTGACATAGGATTCTCTCAAACCAGCAGTATCTGCTTGTGAATATATAATGCAGGAAACAGAGTGACCCAAAAACACAGAACCCAGATCATTTTTTTTTTGGCGGTGACTCTCCATTTTAGCCACACATTATAGTCGTTTTGACTTCACTAGAGTATCCTTGCAGTCGGTGCATTGTATCACATATCGAGCGTAACAGGGGCCGTAGGAGGGGCGCTACGTTAATCAAACATATATCAATATTCATAACTTTTAAAACATTTTTTAAGGCTCAAGTTGGAAATACGTCGAGTCCAGCAATACGCAATCAATATCTCAGTCCCCCTAATACTGGAATGTATGAGGTAAGATTATAGAAATACAGTAAAAACAGTTTGAGAAAGAATTGTGGAAAAGTCACTAAATGCTACTACCTCCTCTAAACCGTCAATATTAATGTTACAAATATAATGTATGTTTTGACGCAGAATTATAAACATATATATTAGACCACAAGATTTGTAATATCCGTAATTAAGCATTTCAATGTTATCAATCGGTTGGTCAAGCCTATTCTTGGACCTATGGATCGTTCCTCTGAATTTTTGTTTTCAAGATTAAGAAAAATCGTTTTTTTTTTATACGCAACCAATGCCAGATCCCCTACATTTGACAATGCGCATACCTTTATATAGCATTTGTTAAAATTCTTTTAACATTTGGTTGTCATTACGGAAGACGCTTTCGTCCTTTGACCTCAGTGTCCTTATATTTGAATGATTTTTACCAGTATATATAATTGAGTCAATTTATAGTGTATTCATGAGTTGAATTCATTCATTATTTTGGGTGTTTGTTCCACCTTTTTTTTTATTTTCGTCATTATTATGATTCAGACATCGATGATAGGAAGTGCAGATTCAGCATATTCTACTGAAATCGTTCCAACCATTCCACCAAGAGATTGAAAGAAAGCAATACACTATACATATGTTTTGAATATATTAAAAGCCATGAATGTAGATGTATATATACAAAATTTGTGCCAATGCGCTATTGTAAAGGATAAACATTGTATATATCGAATTGGAAATACTGTAATGTGTAGATATTTACCAAAAAAATTGATTATATTTATAAATCTTATCGATGAATCGATATCGATTTTCAATTCGGAGAGACATTGTTTGCCATTGCTGTAAAATCTACAATTTCTCAATTTACAGTTCAAAATATCGTTCAGTGAATTTACAAATATTTAATCTTGTTTGAGACTGTATATTGTTCATAGATTTTTTGGTTTTACATCGGTTTATTGAATCTTAAATTATATGCTTGTTCTTATTTTGTCATATAATCATTATTCGTGTGCATTTTACTGTTTGATTAGTACTACAGATGGCTTGCTGCTTTTAGTATACTTGTAACACTGTATACTTTTTGAAATCGCACTAAATTTGGTCTTTATTTGTATACATTTTGCATGTATAGTATACCTAGAAGTTACGTCACAGGTTACATTGCTTATAAAATACAATACGACGCATCTAAAACATCATTTCCTGATGCGCGTGCGTCGCTTACAACTACTATTCAATGCAAATGTAAATTTGGAAACGTCGTGATTCATTGGAACATTTTCTTGAGCAAATATATAGACTTATCATGACTAAAAAGTGTGATAGAAATTGTTGGTTATATTATATTCAACAAAGTACGGATAGTTGATAAGAAGCACAATCCTTTTATAGAAATAGCAACTTTGTAACTTATTGCGCAGACTTAGTTCTTAATAAAGCAGTAAACTAAGTAGTAATTAGAAATTTTCAGTCAGGTTTTACTATAAAACGTAATATGGAAAACATGAATTCATTTTGCTAGCATGATACAATTTTAAATAGAATGAAAGTATGACGCGATGACAGTTGGCATAAAACGATTTTTGACGCATTTGAACAATCGACTTTAAAATCAAGAACAACAGACTATACCTCGCTATATAGAAAGCTTATCTAAAAGCATGATTAATATTAAATGATAAAGTACCTTAGATACTTTAGAACAAATCATTAGAAGTGTAGATTGAATTGTTAGGGTAACTTTGTACACCGACAATACGTGAGCACTTTTTCAGAAGTAACAGAAGCAATGTCATCAGAATGTTTATTGTCGATAAAATATACTATGTATATAGCTTATTCTTTAGTTCAATCAGCATTAAAAACGGAAATGTATTGAACATGTTTCACAAGTTAGTGCTAGATTCAGCAGTCACAGTTTTATTTTAACATGCCGTGAATAAAACTAATCTAATATCGTAGATGGGAACACGTTAAGACTTTTTCAATTTACTTTTAATTTACGTAGTTATAGTAGAATATCGCCAATCAAAAAATTTGCACAACGTTTGTCTTTTCTTTTATTTGAATAGCACGAATTTTGATTGTGATCACTTGGTTATACGGTTGCTACTATCTATTGGTATTCGATCGAAGAGTGTACAATAAAATGATGACGAAAATAAAGAAAATTTATTCAACATTTGAATTTTTTTGTGTATGATTCCATCTAACAGTTCCAGTAATCTGAGAAGCTTTGCGCGGTTATGTTCTTCCGAGAATATGTTCCGAGGGATATGGGTTCTGTTTTATGGCCACCCTTTACTAATTATTATCAACGATACAGGTTTTCAAGTTTTCGTTTTGCAACAAAAACTGTAGGATAGAATGTAGGATCAATTGCATTGTATTTCACCAGTTGTAGTGAGCTTAGTCTGCATGCATTGATAACCAATAGGAGTTAGCAATGACTAAGAGGCGGTGATATATTCCTAACATGAAATAATATAAGTAGGTAGATTACGCACCAACTTCGTTTTATTATTTATAATAACGTACCTCAACGAAATATGATTAATATGAGTTGAACGTCATTTGCTGCGCATCATGGTTTCACCATTGAAAGCGATCGAAGATATCGTCATAGGTATAGTATAGTATCTTGGGTTTCAAAGAATTTTACACCCTATTCTCCCTATTTTATACTTCTACTGTGTAAGCCTGACTATTCAGATAGTATGTTTGTTATACAAAGAATATAAATTTGACTGGAACAAATCATTTTCATTAATTGTATAGATACAGCATCATGTTGGCGTACAGTTTTACATCTGCACTAATTATATGCTTGTTGCATAGTTGTGAAGGCGTAGTACCTTGCCCTGAGCCGAATGAAGATTGTGATTGCCAAAATCTCAATGAAGCAGGTGGATACGTGAAATGTGTTGGAGTATCTAATATACCGAATAACCTTCCCGAGGAAACTGGCATTTTGGATTTAGGTGGGAGCACAATAGGTTCTGTTCTACTTGGAGATAAGGTATGCCAATATAGGTGATAAAAATTTAAAAAGTCAAATTGTTTGGCTTTTCAATGAAGTTAGATCTGATAGCCATATAAATAAACCGTCTTAAATTCTTTTCTGTATCTCAAAATAACTATAAGAATCAAACTCATGATTTTTTTATTATTAGATGGACAATCTGAATAATCTAACATTGACCCAACTCTACCTAAACGACGCTGGATTACTGGCAATTGAGGATCGTGCATTCATGAATCTAGGCAGTTTAAGAAAGTTGGACCTGAGTAACAACAATTTCAGAAGTATGTTAGTCGAAATAGTTGCAATTATTCTTACTATACAGTGACTAGGCCTGCAAAACTCAAATGAACGAAAGGACCGCAACAAACAAAAATAATTGTTCGTGAGCCACTAGTTATCATTAGTCTCGATATAACATCTATTTTCGTAATACAGCCTATAAACAGTGTAATATGTGATCAATTCCACACAGCACAATCAATGGCAAAAGATTCTCATAAATATTCATTTAATTGTTTGTTTTATTCATTTGTCCGTTTTCAATCTTATTTTCTGGTCATTGCTGTTTTGTTGAAAAATGCTGGATCCAAACGTAACAATTTTGGGCATTCCCATACATTTGTCCCTTACAGTGCACGAGATATTATGATGTAACAGAGATTCATAGTCCCAAAATCATACGCGCCATCTTTCACCCTGACATGCCATATTCTTGTCTTTTCTTTCTATTGTTCGCATCAAGTGTATTTTCTTTATGGCGATAAAATAAATACTGATACGTCGGACGCGAAAGTACCCAGATAATTTATTCGAGTTGGTAATTTAAATATTTAAACGGATTTATCTAGAATTCACATAGGATTGTTCTTTAGCACCGATCGCTCATATTTTTGTATGGATAAGTAAAACTTTATATACTTTCTGGTGGTCGCATACATTAGGATTTTGCAGGCCACATGCTGCTTGCAGATCGTGTGTTGTACAAAGTGACTATCTCACTATAAATGACTATCTGACAATAGTCACTTTGGTGTTGTACAGGCCCGCGCACAGTTGCGACGGTTTATAGTGATCCTAGTGAACTCTTTTGCAAATTATATTTCAATCGCAATCGTGCATTTTAGTAAAATATATATACCATCGCAACGTAATCAATAGAAAGAGAATATGACAATCAATGGTATCGGAAATAAAATTTAACGTAAAGCAATACGTAATGTTTTCGAAAATTTAACTCGAAAATATTTCATGGCATGGCTGTATTTGTTTTTTTTTATCGAAAATTAAAAAGGATTGCATGTTTAATAGCATTTTGAGGCAATTTATAAAATCAATATTTGGCGATTAGTAAGCAATTTATTAGAACATCATCGTTGTAGTCATTTTAAATGGTTGTACACAATAACATGACATTTATTGGATGTAAAAAATGTCATTCGAAGCTAGATGTGTGTTAATTATGGCAAATGTAATGACTTCATGATTGGCATGTTGCGGTAAAAGACCTGGGCAATAATCATTGACATCACTACTAAATCAGTATGCTCCACATCGCCAATGAGCGAGATACACTACGAGGATGTTCTAAAACCAGGAAGTTTATTATTTCAGGGTGTACAACTTTTGTTCAGCATATTACCCATTTCCATTATCCCTAGCTAGTAGCACTTTAGGCCTAGATGCTTGATAGTAATAAGTCTAATTTATAACAATTGAGTGAAAAGAGAAACCTATATAATAAGTTCTAGACCAAAGAACAATCTGGCATAGTCGAGTATGACCTCAAATGCAAGGCAACTTTGCTTATTTAACATTATTGAAATCGATGAAACGTTAAACAGGCATCGAAAAACGTACACTATATTATATCATCGTAGATAAAATTCTCAATTCTGCTTTTAAATACACTCCCCAACTTGGTAAAAATAATTTATATGGTATAATAAAAATTGTGAAAAATTTTCACACAGGTCTCAACGATCAAACATTTTTTGGATTAGCGGAACTGGAAACACTTTTTCTTTCAAAATCATTTATTTTTGAAATATCACCCGCAGTGTTTGTATATACGCCTTCACTGGTTTATCTTGACCTGGATAAAAACATGCTGACAGAAATCACAGATCAGTTTTCATCGTTAACGAATTTGGAAAGTTTATTGATTGCTTCAAACAAGGTGAGACTACCTATTTACACACAAGCGAATTCTAATGGTGAAGCTATATATAATTAGCGAATATGCAGACAACTCGTGTTTTAGGAAGAAGCTTGCAATTAAAATCTTTGTTCTGTATCTGACAGTGACTGTTCCTAAAGGTTTGGAAACTTTGGATAAAATGTAACATCATTGACAATTTCGTTCGAATATATTTTGTTTAGATTACAAAAATTGCGGAAGATGCATTTTCATACCAAGATCGTCTCAAGCGAATGGATCTGTATAATAATCAACTTACTACACCAAATAAAGGATGGTTTGAAATACTCGTAGTAAACAATGGAGAACTGATTATCAGCGAACCAGATTTCTCGGAAAATCCTTGGAGATGTTGCGGCGAAAAAGCGATAGATTATAAAAATTTCGTCAAAGCTCTCCCAAATGATTTAAACTCACGAAATGAGTATAATATTTTATGCAGTTGGCCAGAAAAATACAAAAATCAAAGCATTGGAGATATTATAGAAGATGATCTAAGAGCGACATCTTGCAACAATCAAAACGACGACGCTTCGAATTCCGAAATGGAAGTCGAAAGTATTCTTAGCGCAACCACGGTAATTTCCCCAACAATTGGTAAGTGTAGTAATTCAAAATAATGTTCAAATAAAATCAGTTGTTCAAATTACCCAGACATATCTCACTACCTCTTAAATAAAATAATTCACTGATCGCTTTACGTAAATATAATAGCATCCAACGCAATCAGTTTTGAAACCCTTTCGTCATCGCCCTATAATCAGTGAATTTATACATTCATGAGCAACTTATTCCACAGCTTCACAGACAGTCAACAGCGAGACAGTAAACGACAAGAACACTGTAAACGAAACTTCGGGATTAAAATTGGAAATTTCACCAGAGAGTGGAAATTTTTTCTATCACCTTACAGACGCTCACATCGTGCTCATACTATTAGCAGTTGTAGTTATTGTCGTAATATTGACGACAATTGTTGTTCATAAATATCACATCAGACAACACGGAAAAGCATTTGCTGAGTTTGTCAATAATCTTCCCAATTCAAGAGGTGGAGATAGTGACGTAAGTATTCATTGAATACAGTAATTTGATTTTATGACAAAACAGAAATAAATTACAAAATAAAATATTTTTCGAAACTGCCTGGTGGTCCCATATTGAATATATGCACAATTTCGGCAAATAGAACAATTTTAGCCTTTTTTAGTGGAGTGCCATCACAGTTTTGTAAACATTTAATATGAATGTGTCTTTGCTCAATTTATCTCACAATATAAACGGGTTTTAGTAACAATACGTATTTAATTTAATTAAGGATGACATCGGTCTCACGACCAGAACCTACCGTCAAGATGCCCCGGTTTATGGATCCACTGGCCAGGTTGTTGACAGACACAAAGAAGGGTCGATGGTGAGCAGTAGCAGCGTATCTTCGGATGATACTTCCTCGGAGGAACTCAGTGGAGTGGTAAAACCCGAGAAAAGAAAACCCCCGCCATACGATCCACCTACTGAAAGTCCCACTGATCTCGATCTTGGGTCTGGCGGGATTTATTCCAGCACTCAGTTCAATAATTCGTCCTCAGTTGGAATGAATTTTAACCTCGAGTGGGAACAAGACAGAAGAAGTCAGACAGAAAAAACGAATGCGTTTTCATTTTCAAATCTAGAATACGACTCAGATCAAAGTGATGACCTGTGGAACATTACTACTGTAAAAGAATGTTGAAGAGTAGATTGAAGTTGACTGTTTATGCAATTGTTGAAATTCTACGTACTTAAGCGCTTATTCGTCTTGCTTACCAGAAATTTCTGGACACGAAACGCTAAGTTGTTCTTTTCGGTCATGTTGAAATGCTTCGGGCTGTTTCAGTGAAAAAACGCTCATTTCTCAACTGTAGTGCCAACCGATTTCAAATTTTCAACATTTGAAGATGGAAGAAATCTATTAACTTTATTTATTTTTTAAAATTTCATGAGATTCACGAGAGTCAATATTTAGCCCAATTTTACTCTTTCATTTTGAATTCATGGAAACACTGTTTTAACATTTCGTGTCGATATACTCGAACATTACTCTCTTATTATAATCAATAATTTTAATTAACTTATTCGCCCAATGTTACAGATGTGCGAGTTTGTCGAGTTCGAAATTCCGTGTTTAGTAGTGAAAACTATAGTAACAAAGGAGTGTATATCTGAAAAATATTATTCTGAAAACTAACCATATAGCCCGAGACTTACTCACGTTGCATGGTGCACTGGGAACATGCGAACCCGTCCTTGGGAAGTCGTGTTGATCAACGAACCCGTTCTTGATTTTCGTTTTCAACGTTAGAGGACCGCAGAAATTAAGTAATATGCACTGCAGCTGACGGCCTTACAATATATTTTGCGTTTTGAAAGTTATGTATTAGACGTAAAGCGTGTAATGTTAATAGCTTACGTAATGAAATACAAACATTTTTTAAGGTAGACCCAAGAAAAACGCCATGGACTATCAACGGCAGTTTAAGAGGACTCGTATAGAATTTTTTTATTAAAAATGTTGACTCTAATTACGTACTTCACTAGTGTCTTTTCGAAATTTTCGTAATAAGAGTAAATTGAAAATTGACGCAAACAATGCATATCGTATGTATGGTTGTTATATATATACCATAATAGTTGTCGAAATTGTCCAGTAAACATAAATCCACCTATAGACACGCAAACAATATGAAACAATACTCATATCGATTCATGAAAGAGTCTCACATTGAAACTCTAGAATTTCACATTGATTGTACGACCGGCAAATGTACAGGATATTATTTCAAAAAAATATATCCATTATGGAATTATGCATAAGAAAATTATAAAATGTACAGTACAAACATATGATGTATTTCTCAAAACATGACATCATCGGAATTAGCATTGAAAATGATCACAATTAATGTTTCATATATTAATTTATACAATATTTTATTAATTTATACAATAATACTGTTGATAGAAATTTGCATATATATATAAACCTCTATCGCTTTTGAAAGCATACCATCCAAGCGAGTGTTGGTAAAAATAACATTTAGAAAGAGTCATACGATTGGACGTTTGTCATTAGAATTTTATTGTTTCCCTTTGGGAGCTTTATGAACGTGATTGTCTTTTCAGGTCAATTTAGAATGTCTGGCTCTTGACCTCCTGTAGCGTGCGAATTATCATAAAAAGAGTATTATTGAAACGTGCCCTGTACTCCAGCGTATGGCTTATCGACGCATATTGGTTTAAAATGATGTTAAAATGATTATTAAAATGATTGCTATGTCGTGCGAAACAAGTATGTTATTTCAAATATAGTAAGCAAAAATAAAATTGTAAATATACGATGTGACATTTTTCTAGCCCTCGTTAGAATTGGAAAATATGATCAGTAAATGATAAGATTTAATATGTTCTTTGATTCATTTTCTATACCCTGCAATTTTGTACACTTTAACAAAAAGCTAGCATATATATAGCAAAACTTTGTCTAAGATTCAAAAAAGTGTTTACATAGGAGCAAGCCTATGTTTCAAGTAAAACAAAGCATCGAAAAGAATTCGCGGTTGATAAAATGAGGGAGCGTCAGTGTCTAGAGCTTGGTAATTTCGATTGTAGACTAATTGACGAATAAAACTTGATGGGAATTTGGTACGAGATGGCTGCCATGTTATCATTGCTTCCAATATATTGCATCACTTGCCGTACGAATATTGAAGCTTGCTGCTTCATGACATTTGAGATCATAAAGTGGAGTCGCCAGAAAAAAGTTTGACGCAATCAATTTTTGTTATTCTCAGTAAAAAAAATTGAATTCAGAGTAACTACTGATTTACTTCAAGTGTTTAAAATTCGAAAATTTTTAAATGACTACTCCAAAGTTCGGGATTTCATTTAATACGACAGTGTCCGAATTTGATACTACAGAACCATACACCCAAGGTTTTGAAGTCACAAGCACATGGATTATTGTCATCATCGTAAATATTTCATCACTGTTTGTGAGTCTTTATATATCTATCGCACTCGTGATTCACAGCTTCTTATTAAATAATGACAAAAAACAACAATTGGAAAAACAAGAAAATATACGGAACAATCGTCCAGGATTTGGCAATTCATCGTCAGTACGACCAAATGATTTAAAAGTCGATGCAAAAAAACATCTGGCAATTTTAGAAAGAATGTGCATTGCAGGAGCTGTGTTTACAACTTTGAGGATTGCATCAGAACAACTACAATTGTTTTTTGGAGGAAAATCTGACTTTCTTTGCACTGTTATCTTAAAAGTTCACATTGTGCTGTACTCATTGCCAATAGCAACTATATACGCATTTCTTTGGGCGCGTCAAAGGATAATGTATATGCATCCAGCGATGCGTCTTTTCAGCTCCACGAGAACTCAATTTGCAAGTTGGTATATTATTTTCACAATGATTAATGGGTTTATAGCAACAGCAGTTCTGTTCCTAACTACAAGATCGTATACAAAGTCAGATTTTGGATGCGCACTCAAAAAAACATCAATTGCTAAGTTTATACCTTGGCTGATATTAATTGGCACAACAGTAATTTTTCAAACTTTGCTCTTGGCCTTATTCTTATATCCTCTCGTGCGTCATCGCAAAATGATGAAAACCGCGCAGCAAGACTATCAAATGACGGATACGGTGAAACCTCTCATCAACCGAGTTTTTCTGGTTACTCTTGTTTGCGTTATATCTGATGTTATTGCTGCACTAGTCACCATGGCAACATCAACTATTTTAATCTCAAATATCTTTTATGACATAAATCTTCTTGTAAACATGTTTGGTATCTGCTTTTCGTTTGCTGATTGGAAAAACCGGTTATTTCCATGTTGTATTTTTAAAACAGAAATGTCCTAACCTAATAGACTGGATGCCCATGCCACACATTTCCGTTAATACGATGGACACGGATTTTTTTATTTACTTTCTGTTCTTACCCAACTTGTCTCTTTCAAATAAAAAAAAATGTTTATGGACTGTAAATTTCGGTTAATATCTTATTAATCTTTCTGTACGTGAGCAGGCAAGAGAAGGATCCCAGATGATTGTTTGCACGTCTCCGGAGTTTTGTGAACGATGTATCTAATCAATCGGAATCAAATTACAATCGGTAGGCTATTTAGAAAAGTAAGTCAATGTTTTTGCTGTAATTGAGAGCATTTGCTCGTCCGATTATCAAACTGAAGCACGGGCGCTTCAGCGTAATGATGACATAATGCTAATGAATCATCGTCCAGTGATTCCCAACAGTGTCGTAGTAGTCAAAATAATATTGAAGTTGATCAGCCTACCAGAGATGCTATATTGAAATATAATAAACTGCTTTCGGAAATCACAATCGTAGTTAGCAAGCTGGGCACCTGCGCCGCCGAATGGGCGGTCATTGCTCTATTCCAAAACGCCAATAGCTTTGTCACCGGCGATACTTCCAGATATTATCTTCGGACAACGAAGTTTTTTTCGTTTGGTATCCATTACCAATTAGTTGAAAGTAGCTTACCAGATCTGTAGAATTCCTTGATATAGGCTACTCAGCTCAATTAATGCACGACTTTGCGTCTGTATCGTGAAGAATATTCACACTTTCTCACATCCGCATCGGCAATTTTCTTTTATCAATTTTATCAATCGCCTTCAATCTTTACGCGGCTTTTTTGTAGGAAGCCCTCACTAATGCAAAAATGCGAGATTCGAAGAAAAATAACATCTCCATGCACCACGTTTTTAAATACCAAACTAATAATTATTCAGTTGGAGTTAGTAATGATATAAAAATTCAAATTTCCAGCGCGATCTGGATTCCAATCCTTACTGGATAATTACTATTTTTTCTATTTTAACCGTTGGCGGAGGTGTTTTTTGGTGCTGATTTGTACAAAAGATCCCATTACGATTCTCAAATGACAATGCCATCGATGCATTCCATGACAGGTGGTTGAATATTTTGAATCAATATGATGATTATATGCACGAGTAACCCATTTTACGCCAACTCGCAAAAACACTCTTAAAATAAATATTAAAACTTTTGCAGTGGTCAAGTATAGAATGATTTTTCCTGTTGCATGGAAACACATGTAAATTTAAAATTACAGGGATGTTGTGTCCTGTAGTGTTCATTTTTACATAACAACAATAAAAAAAATTCCAACAACAACATAATACAAAAACGATCTATAGGTCCATTTCGTGTCCAATAGACCAGTGGTCGGCAACCTTTTTTAATTGACGGACCGGTAAAGCCTGACCAAACTTTTGGCGGACCACCTTTATACAAATAAACTAAGCCTATATGCAATAAATTATACGCATTAGAAAATTTACTAAAAAAGACGGTTATGCTATTTAATGCGATATCTGTATTTTTTTGATGGCTATTAACTGTTCCCATATTCGAGACATTGACACACGTAACATGTTTCTTACATTTAACCTACTTCGATATTATTTCGTTTTTGTATTCATCAATATTGATAACCAGGCCTCACATTAAGATTTCGATTTAACAATGCCTGTATCATATTGTTGGGGAGATCTTATTCGGACTGATGAGAGACATTCTTATACGGGCGTAGAGAAAATAATTGACCCAGCATTGTTGCGACATACTGACATGGCAATTGTTTATGAAGTCGGACTTGCTGCTCAATAGTGTTGTGCAGGGGTCGGCAACCTTCATGTTCTTGCGGGCCAAATATACCCGTTTTCGGTAGCGCGCGGGCCGCAATATTTCCGCCTTCGAACAATCGCTACATTAAATAAACTTCAAATTATGGCGCATTCGCATTTCTGCCCTTCTATTGCTGTGTTGAAAGCCTGTCCCAATGAGATGTGTATGTGGCGTTTTTTTAATATATTATCCAACAATACATTGTTTCTATTTATCTATTATTAATGTGAAAGATGATGTTTTTATGGCAACTCGTCGTCCAAGTGATGATCTGACAAGCGAGTACGAAATTTAATCTAAGTTTAATGCATTTCAGATAAAGCTGCTCAAGGCCATATGTTCTTCCGAACGTGGACATCACACTTTTTGCATCAACGCACAGATGAGCTGTGGCGCAGTCCCGGGTTTCGGGATCGAATTTTCGACGACTCGTTTCGTAACGAGTTTAATTAAAACATTGAAACCCTTAATAACTGCGATGCTGACTGGGCATATCGAGCAAACTGGTTTTGTAATGCCCAAGAAAGAAAATACTTTTCCGTACAAGCACCTGAAATGCTCGACCCTTGTCGCTCCGTTTTCGGGACATTTTTAAATGGTAAAAATCGAAATTAACTCGAACGACATACAACTGAAGCCACTTGTTACATAAGAAGCGCCGTACAGCAGCACTTGTCACCACATAAATCCGTGTAGAGGCAATAATAAATTTGGGATCAATTTTTGTTTTATGTATTGAATGTCGAGTGGTTCGCGAGTCGCAACAAATTAGCTCGCGGGCCGCATTTGGCCCGCAGTTTGCCGACTCTTAGTGTTGTGTTTGTCTGGTTTACTGTTGGGTGCTGTTTTTTAGTCGTAGGGCTCGTGGTTAGACTGTAGAGGTTTTATTACGGCCTTGTCTGTTTTTGTGTCACCTCTCTGCAGACCGGCAGTAACCATTCCGCGGACCGGCGATGGGCCGCGGCCCGGTGGTTGCCGACCACTGCAATAGACCATTCCCCGAACTTTGGCCCCCGTAAAATTCTTCCTATACTTTACCATTGCAAAATTTTCGGTGCTTATTTTAAGAGTGGTTTCGGGAGTTGGCGTCTGTAAAATGGGGTATTTGTTTTTATCCATTATTCTGATTCATAGAGCTCAAACATCTGTTTTTTAAAACGACCGGTAAAGAATTTTAACCTATAGTCCATCACAGCTATTTTTACACTAATTTTTGATTACTGCAATTGAACTGAAACTCTTAAGAAGACAAAGTAGTCATTGAATTATTTGATATATATTTAAATATCCGAAACACAACTGAAAACTAACGAATAGAATTCAAAAACGCGAAAACTAGGTAATGTTTATGACCACGCTTGAAAATCTGTCTGAGCGAGAAAGGTGCCTAAGCGGATGCAAAACTACGTCACTTTTTGCATCTTGCTGATTGGCAAATGTCACAAAGTAAACAAGGAAGTCGATGCTCGGGTAAAGGTCCATAACCCAACATCGATACCAGAAATTCTTTATCCGCATCCCACTAAACCCCATACTTGCTTTTTGCACAAAACACTTATTGGACACGTAGTGGACATAACGATCGTTTCAATATTATGTTGTTGTTGTTGTTCTTGTTCTTGTTCTTTGACACGTTTT